GTTCTTAAGGAGTGTTTAAACCTACAGGAGGTAGAGAATGAACAAGTGTTTAGACCTTCTGGCTCCTGGAGGTAGAGAAAGACTAACACTAACCAGGTGAGCAAAGAGAAAGGCAGGGCTGGACTCACAGTGACCCTCCACGGTAACAGACAAGAAGGCCGGTCTCCGCAACTATGCTAGAAGCAAGAAGCACAGTGAACTGTTAGTGGAATTCCCAGGCTCACCCTCACACACACCAAATCCAATGTGATGGGATAAGCCAGAGCCCCACTAAGAAATGGGGTCAAGGCTGTGTGTGGGCCAGGCCTATGGGAGAAGGGTACCGGGGATTCCAACTCTGAGTTCACTTTGTAGTAAAATGACTTAGGGAGGCATTTCTTTTTCTTTTTTTTTTTTTTTTGAGACAGAGTCTCACTCTGGTATTGTATTGTGAGATGAAAGACCAGTTTTTTTTCTTTTTTTTTGAGACAGAGTTTCACTATGTCGCCCTGGGTAGAGTGCTGTGACGTCATAGCTCACAACAACCTCAAACTCTTGGACTTAAGTGATCCTGTTGCCTTACCCTTCTGAGTAGCTGGGACTATAGGCACCTGCCACAACCAGCTTTTTCAGAGACAGAGTCTTGCTCTTGCTCAGGCTGGTCTTAAACTCCTGAGCTCAGGTGATCTACCTGCCTCGACTCCCAGAGTGTTAGGATTACAGGTGTGAGCCACCGCGCCTGGCCTAGGGAAGCATTGCTTGTCTTGAACTTGTTCCATATTCATCAAGAGTGATCTGCTTTTGTTTTGTTTTTGAAACTGAACACTTTCAGATTTTTGCATTTTTTAAATGTCATCATCAATCAGAAACTTCTTTTGTTGCAGGTGTGCCCACTGCCTCTCTCCTCGCCCAGCAGATCCCTTTGCTTTCTTCTGTCAAGAATGCGGCTCTCATGTGCCCCCCATATTTGGCTGTCGTCTCCCACCCCCAGAAGGAGCTCAGGTGAGCAGCAGAATTCTTAAAAATGCCTTTCATTGCTTTATGTGATCTTTATTTGCAGCAGTGCCTGGTACACATGAACCACAAACATTAACACTTGTTGAAAGAATGACAGGCAAATTAAACCCTTACTGTCCAGATTCCTTCTTAAGAATGGAAAAACTGGCTCTGTGCCTATAGCTCAACCGGCTAAGGCGCCAGCCACGTACACCTAAGGTGGCAGGTTCGAATCCCCAGCCCGGACCTGCCAAAACAACAATGACGGCTGCAACCAAAAAAT